CCTACTGAGTGTCCTTTAAATGTTGCAACAAACTTCTGTGGGAAGTAGGTTGGGCACATCATAAGATTTAAGAATTACCTTGGAAACCATAATTGTCAATGTCATCATACACTGCTGGGGGCGCTTTATTGTGGACATGCTGTGCTTTTGAACTTTTTCTAAAATATTTTAATTTTATATTACTATTAATTATTGTTGAGAGTTCCATTAAAATAGGCTTACGAACTGCTGTTTTATCATAATTTAATGATTAGGCAAGCTTGTCCAGTTAGTTGCCCAATCATTAAATTACAATAAAACAGCTAATATTGTACTTATTACAATGTTGTACAATAATTAATAGAAAACAAAAAAATGAAGATAATTTAGATAAATAAAAGTACTTGATGTTCATGGGCACAGGAGGTAACAGTTCATAATAAGAATGCCCCCTTAGCAGCATACAATAACATTTCTGGTCATGGTTTCCTAAGTAATTCTTAATCCTTATGACATGCCCTATTCCCCTAAAAGTTTGTCACAACATTTATGGAACAACCTGTATGTGTATATATATACATGCATATACAATCGATCTCCGGTTTTACGCTGTTAGTTTTATCTGTACATTATTTTACAGCATTTAATATGCATAATAGCTTAGACATAACAAAATACATTAGTTTTTTTATCAGTAATTTGATAAAGTATAATACCAAGCACAAGGATTTGTTTTGATTAGAGATGAATAAAATAGTCCATGAGACTCCAAAAATTATTAGTAGAAACTGTCATAAGAGGCATATATTTATAGCACCCAAAATAATATAAGTTCAAAATTACTAAGCATATTCCGAAATATCAGAAATATGTTTTAAATTGCTACAAAATAAACATTTCTTAATGATTGTGCTAAATCTTTTTTTAGCTGGTATTTTTTATAAATTTGTGAGTTTTGCTCAAAATAATATTAAAATAAATATTTCGCTGTAAAAGTTTGAAATAAAAAAATGCAAAAGTTCGGATATTGATTATTCTAAGTAGCTTAAAGTTATTGTTCTTTATACTTCTAAAGTTTAAAGCTGTTTCTTCAAACAAACAAATTTCGAAAGTGCAAAACTGTGCTGTTCTATATTGTTCCTAATATTCAATCATACACTGTAATTAATTAACAACATTATGGTTCTTTTATATTATCTCAAGTTTTGAAAAATTATTTTATTTTAACTGGTCTTTTTTAGTGGCGTAAAAACTCTGATTACATTAAAAATAGTCTCACCGAAATGCATCTTCATTTGAATCACTTTTTTGTATAATCATAGTAAAAAAAGTACAATTTACTTAGTTAAACAAGTATATATGTATATGTCTTGTGATGAATTTTTATATCAACTTAGTCTATGTGTGCATTTTGTTTTAAGCTCTTTATTTTTTCATTTTATATTTTTCTTATAAATATAGATGTATTTATATTAACTTGTTTTGGAGCTTAGTTTGTTTTCTGTGACATATGTTATATTTGTAAGACATGTTTATTTATTTTATTATGTATGAAATTTTAAGTTTTTTTTTTTAAGTGTTATTTTTTATATGAATTTTATGGATTTTTTGTTTTCCCTTTTGTAAAATAAAAAAAAATCGACTGATTTATTAAGATTTATAAATTAAATAGTAATGTTAATTTTATATTATTTATTAAATAATAAGAAATGAGCTAGATGTGTTGGGTGTTAGATTAAATATCCTGAAAATTGTCTTGTTTAGGTAAACACAAGTTCAATGATCTCACACTACCCAGTTGATTTTTCTATTTCTTTCTTAATTCAATATCTATTTATAACCCCTATGTAGTTTAGTCTATTTTAGTTCCTGTGCCTTTAAACTTTTAGACCATGCTTAAATATCATTATGCCATAAATTAACTTTTGTTTTGTTTTGTAACTTCGTAATTTCCATTTTAGTTTAAAAAGAATACTCTGAGTAATTTAAGTAGTAACTTTAAATTATTTTTAATAATTTTTTTACTGAATTTCTTTTAAAATAAATTTTATATTTATAATTAGACATTATAAATTTTGCTTTTTAAAAATTACATATTTATTAGTTTTGGCATTTTGTTTTAAATATTTCCTTTACTATATTGTATATTTGCTGAAAAAAATGTGTAAATAAAGCTGAATTTTTATTTTATTTGTAGAGCTTATATATGGGAGATACTTCATTTAACAACATGTAAAATGATTCGTTATGTGACTAATCAAGAAAAACAAGTAAATGATGCTAAAAAGAAACTACAAAAGGTAATTAGTCGTTTGAAATATTTGATCCGTACAACTGTTTGCATATTGGTTAAATCTTTTTTGTGTGTGTTATTATTTTGTTTATATGTTTTATTATCACCCATCAAAGGCAAGTTTTTAATTTTCAATGTATGGGTTTGTTAAGTCAATGATGTGGAATAAGTTGGAGAATTACTAAAAAAATTCTGTGCGAAATTTTATTTAATTGTATAAAAATCCAAAAAATTCCCAAACTTTAGTGACACTATTCAAAATATCCTTTTATCTCTACAAATAAAAATGTTCAAAATCTAAAGATATATGATATTAAAAAGAAGTTTTGTTACAGTTGTGTTAAATGTGTTTGTCAATTAAAAATAAAATGTTAAATAAATTGACAATGTAAACCCTTTCTTGACTTCACATGTGATCTATGTTTAAATCTGATTCTAATATATTAAATCTGATTCCAATATATTACCACTTCTTTGATAGCAGATCTCAAATCATTAATTAGAATTAAAATTTAAAGTTGGTGATTTTTCTTCCTTCATTTAAAGGGAATTCATGTTCATTGTGTGATAACGACAAAAGAAATAAGAGTTTTGAAAAACATATGAATCTTTTTGCATTAAAACAACTTTTAAGTACAAGTCTTTTTTTTTTATTTTGGAAAGTGCAAAAATGTTTAACACATGTTTTTGAAGTGTTTAACGCATGTTTTGATGTTCTAATGGACATTGAATTCTAATGTTTTCTTTTAGAAGAGGGGGACGTTGGTAGTATCCAATTGAACTGATTGTATTGTTTTACCGATCAAGTTAAACAAAAAATTTTAACCGACTGCTGATATAATGTATTGTTATTTATCTGTTATTATTACAGAAAGGCTCTTGTTAGTTTGCAGGCAGTGTGTCCCCTGATGAAATATTGTTTTGCAAACACACATTTATATTTTAATTGTAAAGATTTTATATATGTTTTATTTCTATTTTATATAAAGCAAATTTGGTTTCAGCTGTCTTGTGCGCTTTTCTAATTTGATTTAATGTTTCTATGTGTTTATTTACCTCTTATGTATCGAAATTGACTTCGTAAATTGAATTGACTTTATGATTAGATTGTTATTTATCTAATCATATTCTTTAAAAAAAATCTGGTTAAATATCATGCAATCTATTATAATTTTTATCTGGGAGCTTCATTTTCTCTATTATTTCTTTCTGCTGGCCAAATGTTATTTTGACGCATATATCTATTTCAATCTAAAATAGGTTTTGGAATAAAATTTTGTTAGTTTAGGTGAGTAAGGTTTATTTTCGGTGAGTTTTATTGAAATTTTTACCTGTATATTTTGTTTATTTTTGGTTTATAAAATGTATTAATTTTTATGCATTGATTCTGATTACTAATGTTCTATATTTTATCTATTTTTTACAAATGGAGCTTTGAGACTAGAGTAACACTTTTAATTTGTTAAACAATTGTTCTCTGAAACCCTCCCACATTAAAATGCAAAGGGTGTCTTCTGATAAAGTCCTGTATTTTATTTTGTTCTATTTCAACTTACTTTTCTATTTCAATTTAAATATTATTCTCTAATCTTTTTATAAATTTGTTATTTATCTACTCTTTCTTTAAAACGTTTTGTTTTTTCTTTTTAAATTTTGGTTACACATCAAATAGGAAGATGATGCAATGGAAGAAGACGATGAGGAAGATTCTAATCATGTACGACCATCAAAAGAAATGATTGAAGGAATGGAAGAAAAATTAGATGCAGCCCAGAGTGAAAAAAATTTTTCTTAATTATTTTCCTGGTAAGGATTTATTTTGGTTAGCTCTCCAATTGGCAGTTTTGTTTTAGTTAAAAAAAATTTATTTTCTTAACACCTTTTTTTTGTTGTTGTTTTTCTTAGTCATCATTAAGGGTGTCACACAGACTCAGTCAATATCCTAATTCCCCCCTGTTGACCTAGGAATTCGGTTTTTATGTCAAGTAATAAATTAAGTGTTCTTTATTGCAATAAAATCAAAATCAATCTGGCTAAAAAATTTATACATAATATTTTAAAGTCAAATATGTTGAAGGTTTCAGAGCTGCTATTGTCAACTAAAAAGGCAACTGAAATGATAATTTTTAAGAATAGGCGACTAATTTGGACTAATTTCATTAATATATTTATATTAAAAAAATCTGCTATTTTACAATCAATTGCAAAAAATTGGTAATTTTTTTAAAAAATCAATTCATTAAATTATCAATTTGCTATATTCCATTATCCATATTTAATCCTCTTATAAAAGTTTTTTCCCCCACTCTGTTCGACCAGTGCAATTACAGCCCCTAATGGGGCATGAAAACATTCCGCTGTCTTGGTTTATTGCAAGGAAAAACAATCCTCAAACCTGTTGTTTTTGACGGTTGCATATTAATGTAAAATTTCAGAATTTAATTTAGCTTCATAAGAAAACATAGTTGAATTCACTTTTAATTCTTTTTGTTTTTGTAAACGTGATGTTTAATTTATTCCAGTGTTCTTAGCCCGTTTTTTTAATGAGTTAGTAGCATCCTTAAAACTGTTTCAAAAATAATAAATTGCATATTTAGTAATAAAACTTGTATATTTTTTAAAACTAAAAAATATGCAAATATTTAAAACTTGTTTACTTTAATGATTGTATTTAAACTTTAGTCATCAAATAAAATATATTAAAAACCTTTTACAATTTTACCTAATTTTTTATTTTTTTTCATTTCATTTTTATGTAATTTAGACTACTATGTATTCTCATATAATTGTCATATTTAATTTAGGAGACCTGCAAGATATGATCTAATTTAAAAATAAAATCTAAGCAAGATTCCTACTTCATGACTTTTAATAATTGCTACATAATAATTTTTTTTGTTTTTGTTTTTAGTAATAAAACCCAGTGCAGCTTATAATTTTTGGTAAAATTATAATTCAATATTTAATTATTATTTTTCCATTGGAAAATTAAATAGAGTTTATAAAATATCAGTACAGTGTATGTGTATTTTAAAAACATTAAATTTAATATTTCTTTGTGTATTTACAATTATTATGCTCTGAAAAATGTTTATGTAGCACAATACATGATATGTTGTACAAATTTTTCTTCTGATGCATTTTCTCTTTATTCAATTATTTTGAGAATTTCTTAAATTATCCACATAACATGATATGCATCTACAGCAGGTTGAGTTTAAGGCTTCTGTTTTTTTGTGTATTTCAAATTAACCTATTATATATACTTTATAAAGTGTAAATGTTTTAAAAAATACTTTATTTGGGTAATTTTATATCATTAAGGTGCAAATATTTTAAGAATTTGTTAGAGAGAAACTATTTCATATCTGAGGCAACTAAAGCCACTATTTTATTGAAAGCTCCGAGTTTAGCACTATTTATTTATATTAAAATTACTTGTAATAGTTTTTCAATATTCTTGAAATTATTTAATAATTTTTTTTTACTGTATACATATAAATTATTCATCTTTGTTTCAAAAGTATTAGAATCAGATTTGTTTTGGTTATTGGTTTTATTTTATTGGTCCAAAGATTTAACTCTTTATGCACCTTAAATTAGTACTTTTACAGTTTGCTGTTTCAATGTTGGAATTTAGATGTTTAATTAAAGTATTTTGAAATGAGTCGGAAGGACAATTATAGAAATTTGTAAGCTAGTTGATTTTTCAGACTAATTTTTGATTGGAATGCAAGGTAATATATTGAAAGTAGGGTGAATTCATTGAGGGTTGCATTTGACAGTAGATTGTATATTTCTAATTTTATCAGATTATTTAATATTTTTCTTTGTAACTGTCAAGTTTATGATCTGTTTAAGACCTCACTAAAATGTGCTGTCCCAATTTAATTTTTTTTTAATAAGGTTGAAACTATCTGATTTCCTGAAGTGAATGTAATAAATCAAACAGTTCAACTATAGAAATGTATATTTAAAGTTTAATTTGTTGTACTTATTTTTCTTAGAGGTGCATCATGCTTTTGACCGAACATATAGCTCGATGTGAAGCAGAAGGTGTGGATTTCAACAATTATTGGTTTAAAGCCATGTTAGGTCGACTACAGGAAGTATTTTTTTCAGGTAATTTCATCTTATTGTTTTTATGCTAAACATATAGACTGAAATTTCTCCCTTAACACTATGTATTCAATTTCGAGTGAAATTTCTGCAATATAAGGATGTAATGTTTTAGCTACTTTGTGTTTGAATTTGTCTCGGTTAAAAGTGAAAAGTGATTGATCTTTAAATCAACTATCAACTCTGAAATTGATCTGGCAATTATTAACTGTTGAATTTTCCACAAGAAAATTTGGGAATTTTTTCATTTCGTATGAAATTTACTTTATATTTAATAAAAGATTAGAAATTGCTGACTCAGAACAAGCAGAATAAGTGAAAATAAATTTAGTTTTAAACTTTTATGAAACATCTAAGATGATATTCAACATTGAGTTTATCAAGTTCAAAGCTAGTATTTCTAGATTTTGTATGCTTCTATTTTTTGGTTAAAACCTCAAATTTTTTTTTTCAAAAATACTTTAAATTTTTATTCCTGAGTAGTAAATAAGAATGCATGATTTGCTCCTAACAAGAAAATTAAATGTTTAGTAACTATTAATAACATGTTTTGCTGCCATGTAAATTTTTTTTTAAAGTTTTAGATTGTTACGCTATTGTTTTTATTTCTTAAGGATAAACAGATTATTACATAAAAAATTAAACCTACTCAATTAAAAGATCCGAAACTTTGTTACTAATGTCTACTAGAATAAAATTCAAACTTAGATTTTAATAATCATTTTTCCCAGTTAACATTGCAACTTAAAATACTGTTGTTGTTTTTTTTAAAATTTCTATTTAACTTTTGGTTGTTTTAAAATTAGTATGTTTTTTGTTAGATTTAGTAATATTATGAAAAGTTAATTCTTAATATGGCTGGAAATAATTGTAAACTCATCATAAAAGTAAATATAACACTTTGGCTGTTGAGTAATAATTTCAAAATGGTTAAGTTGCATACCATTTTCAATATGTTTTTCATATAATTTTTTAATATATTTTTTCAAAACTATTAATTCATGATAAAAATAAAATATCAAGTCATAATAATAGTAGTGAATAATATTAAGAATGATAGAAGATAATGAAGAAATATTAAAAGTAAATGTCTATAAATAATGAAAATATAAATAATTTGTTAATTAAGTTACCTTACCAATTTTCTGGACATAGGAATGTGTTGATACCTATGAAAAATAATTTTAGACCTTATTTATATGCTTCACTAAGAACTAATAAAAAATATATTTTTTTGAAAATTATAAATCTTAAACATAATTGTATTTTTATTCTATAAAAATTTTCATAAAAATATTTATTGCAATGAATTTAAATACAGGGTGAGCCAGTCAAACCTGCATTTTTGAAAAGGGCGGGAGTGCCGTGAAAGTGGGCAGAGCGAGTTACCAAGGTTACCATTGTGTCCCCCACAACTAAGCATTTCAGTAGCCATGGAGCAGTGATCTAAACAACAACGTTCGTTCGCTGAGAAAGCGTTTTACCAAAGTTGTAGTTATGCAGCCGCTCAGCGTCATTTCCGGACGAATTTTCAAATTAATTGAAATTGGCCAGTGCCGTCTGTTAATTCAATCAAATTATGGGTGAAAAACTTTAAGACAAATGGTGAAACAAGAAGCAGAAGAGATGGCAGTACAAGAGAATTCCTCAGATGAGATGGGCAGTTTCAGAAATCGCGTGCAAGAATGTCTTGATCGGGAAGGACACCATCTTACTGGCATTATTTTTAAACAGTGAATGTTGTTTCTTAAATACTTTTTAATGTAGATTAAGATAGTAACAATAAAATTTTGAAATATCCATCCGTTTATTTTTTACAGTCATTTCAAAAATGCAGGTTTGACTGGCTCACCCTGTNGTATATATATATATATATATATATATACACACACACACATATTTATATACATATTAAGTTAAGCCTTATGAAGCTTAACTAAAATAAAGTGGAATGATTTAAAGTGCTTAGATAACAGTATGACCCATTTTTACTTGAAATAGGACTTTATTTAACATGACGTAGTTAAGAAAACTATTCTCATTCATGATTCTAATTCAACTTCTTAGTATTATTTTTTTAATATCTACCCTTTTAAATTAAACATTTTGTTCAGAGAAGGAAGAAAAAAAATTTGCCGTAACTGAATGTTTACCAAAATTGGTTCACAGCTGAACATGTGATGCATGTCTGGTAGCAAATATAAAAACTTAAAATAATTTTTTCAATATTTTTCCCAAATTTTTTTATTTACTCTTTTTTTTTAATTTATGAGAAAATTGCAAATTTTAATTTCTAAACCTAATTTTACGATTAATTTTGAATGAAATTAGTAAAAAGGGAATATAGATAAATTTCATAGATTTTGTTAATTCTTGACAATCTGAAAATTTTTTTTAAAAAAAACCAACACTAGTTTGCAAAAATTGTCTGGTCTTAGTTTGGTGAGCCCTGTTTATTAATACAATTTTATCAGTACTTACATTATAATAAAATAGTTTTTTTTTATTATTTTGTTATTTATTGATTTTTTTAGAAAGTTAAGTAATTAACACTGTTTTTGATGGTATATATATATTTATTTGACGCTAATAAACAATTATACCATTTTTAAAGTCCTTAATTTTTTGAAAAAAGTCCTTAAAAGTGCTTAATTTTTGCTTTGTTAAAAGAGTAGGAATCCTGTTTTAATCTTGGATTTCTTTTATACTACAAGATAAAAAATTGTAGAATATCAATAAAAGTATACTTTTACATAACAGATTTATTTGATTTGTAGCTTTAAAGCAATATTTCATTAGTCTACTTTTGAGGGTGGTTTTTTATTAGGGGAAAGTGGCTCAACTTGGGACACTTTTTTATTTTCATTTTTTGATCAATTATTGTAAAAATCTTACCTAGTATTCTTGTAACATTCGAAAACATTTTTAACTAGGTTTTCATTTTGTATCTGTCATGGAAAAAAATGAAAAACATTTATTTAGTTACCTTGTTATTTGTCCCAAAGTGAACTTCCTAGTGGGGCACCTTGGGACAGTTAAACAGATATGAAGAGTTAAGTAGAAATTTTCTAAAAATTGTATAACTAAATAAATTTGCATTTTCTAATATTGTTAGTAAAGCTTTATTTTGTCAGTTTTAAGTTCCTGTATGCAAATCAAATTGTTCAGAATCAAATACCAAACCTAAAGAACGTTCAGTACTTTGCTCTGCTTCTTTAAATTTTAGCAAAATGTCATTTGAATCTATGTATAATTTGTCTTCTTTTTTGGGGTAAATAAATGTTGAAGATTGTTTAACTCTTCTCATTTTTTTGACTGTTAAGTCAACCAACAAAGTATGCTTTGAAACTGAAAAGCATGAAAATGATTTTCGTTTGTGAATGGGGATCCACCCACCCTCTACAGAAAAAAGCTGTTAATGTGATGCTTGCGGTCATTTGTGACTCATGATCAGCTTTTGACATAAAGGGAATGAAATCAAATAGGAATGTTGCATCTGTGACTCCTTAAAGAGATAAGGGAGGCGATTCTAAGGATGGAACTTCTTGAGGTGGTCAGAAAAGGTGGAAAAAATGGCAAAAGATGATGAAATGAGATTTTTTTAACATTATTTGAAAACCAATTATAAATGGAGAAAATATGGTTGAAATTTAGAAAAAAAATTATTTTACAGCGGCTTATTGCTTCAGAGAATATCATAATATTGAGACAGTGTTTTCACTACAGCGCGAGAATCTCGCATATTTTTTTCTTTTCTCGCATTAAAAAATGATTACCGCGAGAAATTCGCGCATTCTATAAATCAATTTCAAAATTCGCGAATTTCTCGCATTTTGGAAAAAGCTTCGAATTACGCCATTTAGAATAAAATCCGTTTCACTTTTCTTACTGGATCTTTCATTATTTTCAACATCTGCCCCATTACCTAGCTTCCCTATTTACCAGTATTGTTCAGAACCTTTTCGAACAACAGAACACAACCCCTTTCAGAACACATTTGTCCGCAACCACGCATTTACCGTAGGTAAGGTTTCTTCATGTAAGACGTTTTTATGCACTTATGCAAGATGGACCTTGTAAAGGCAAAGTCTTCTATGATGATGCATCAAAAATATTCAATGCTTTAAAAAGTAGAAGAAGTTAAAAATGTATTATAATTAAAGAAATGATTTTTTTTTCAAGAGTTTTTGTGTTTTTTTAGAAATCTCACTTAACTTTTTTAAATCTCACCCTGTGTTTGAGAAAGGGTGAGAAATTCTCACCCATTTTTTTTCTATGATGAAAACACTGATTGAGAGGAATATGACATTAATTCATATGCAAATTTGTCGGGACCACGAAATATTAACGTAATAAAGGGAGTTATTGTTCTATGTTCTGTTATTAGGGAGTTATTGTTGGATATTGCAGTAGGGAGAGTTCACTGTATTAAAAAAAACCAGGTCAATAAAAGAAAATTGTATTTCTGAAGAAATGTTCATAGTGAAATTTAAAACTTTATTGAAATGAAATGTCGAGAGCAATTTTTTCCGAACAGAATCAAACCATTGTAAAGAAAATGAAACATACAAAAAAAATTTAAGCTAATAAGCTTAAGAATAAATATAATTATTAGAGCCGTGAATAAGTAACATTTGGCTACATCTTTACTCGACTTTCTCGTGTGTATCTGCTGACTTATTTTAGAGAAACATAATGAGAAATTTCTGCAAAAGATATGTTGCTTTCTAAGCAAGAAGGGACCTATAAGCTGCCCTAGATTTGATGTCACATTTCCAAATGTTATCATGAACGAGGATAAATTTAAAATTATCTTTACTTTTCTGTTACATTAAATTTGTTGTATGTGTGTTTGCTTTTAATCAATTTCTAACTTTGTTTTCGGTAAGTGTATTAGAAATTTTAAAAGTTATACAGAATTACACTTTTTTCTAAATTTTCAAACAAATAAAATTGGTAACTATTTTATAAAATGTAGCAAATAGTAATTTATTTTCAATTTCTAAAATTGTTTCCAAGCTTTTTTTTTTATCTAACTGTTTAAGTTAACAGCTGCCTAGTTAATAAATGGTTACAACATATCTAAACATTATGTAGTTGAAAATTTTACCCTTAAATTTTTATATTTTTTTAGTATAGTATCCTTCTCTTTAGTTTACAATTTAACTTTTTTCTTTTTAAAATTTTAGCGTTTTGCTTTTTCACACAGGAAACTGATTATTCTTACTTTATTGAATAAACAATAGCGGTATTTTAATCGTTTTCATATTCTTATTAATATTTTGTATTTCCATGTCACTTTTTTTACTTTTTCTGAGTAAAGTATAGGGATGTATTTTTCTTTTTTATTTCTTTTTCACCTTCTATTTGTTCACTGATATGCGTATACTATGCATTTCCCCTTCAAAACTCATAGAGAAAACAAATTCAGCATGCCCTTTCTTTATGTTTGCTTGACAGCAACTTATTGTCAGAAAACAGATTCTTTCCGACACATAGTAGGAAATAAAAACATTTGTCCCTTCCCTGCACCCTCTTGACCTAAAGATTTACTCAACTTCAACCTCTTATTCAACTTCAAAAATTTACATTTTTGTTTTTACCACAATCGTTCTAAATGATGAGAAAACTGATCAAAATTTTTATAACTGATTAATTATAAAGCTGAAATGTTTTGTTTGCAAGTGCAATATTTTTGTATAGAGATTTTTATTCATCAAGTTATTGTGTGAAGGAAGATGCAAAAATGTGATGCTCAACCTTTAATTTTTATTTGAAAATGAACAATATAAAAGTTACATGGATAAAATATTTATATCTTTAATTATCTAGGGTAACTTGAACAGGGTTGCCACTCTACAGGGAGAATAGGGAATTTCGTTTCTTATTTTCTTTTTAAAAAATGGTGACCTCTCAATGCATAATCTATGGGATATTTAAGGATGATGTTTCAGCTACATTAAACTATTTATTTACTATAGCATTAAGTATATTCAGCTGTTCCAGCAATTTAAATTAATAAATATAGTTAGCTCACACAAGAACACAGAAATTGTTGTGTTTCTTCTTTATATATTGTGTATAATATGTACAGGGAAAACACAGGGAATTTTTTCCCCTCCAGATTTGAGTGGCAACCCTGTTAAAATGATATTATGAAAGGACAGTCTAATGTAGTGATTTGAAAAAGGATTTTGGCACCTTCGATACCTCTTCAACTAAATGCTTTGAAAGTGGTCCCTAAATTTCAAATATGATATCATTATTTAAGTTTTTGATCTGTGCTGTTATAGTTTTTTTTTAGTGCATTGATAAAAAGAATCATCATCAAATTAAGAATTAGGATGTCACATAGAAACTATAAATTTTATTGATCAAAGAATATTTATGGCTTGTGGGTTGAAAAGGCTTGGAGCCATGCTCTTTAGGCTTTGGTTTACTAAAATCAAATGTATTTTTTTTAATGTAAACAAACAGACAATTTTTTTTTTTTTTACATTTGTCCAATTTTTTTTTGTTTCTATTTTTACAAATAATTTGAAAGTAATAATAAGAAAGTGTACTCAATTATGATTGCTTGCATTTTCAGGGTGTGTGTCACGGACTACACAATTTTGTGAATGTTATATGAGTATGATTGGAACAACACCTGGATGGGGTGGAGAAACATTCATCGTTCAAGTTTGTTTAATTTTTTTAATCAATATTTTCTTCTTACTGAACATATATATATAGTAAATACATTGCTCTGGTTAAAATTTATACGCAATTCAGTATGTTTTTTAAGCTACTCATTCATATTACTACTTTTGATTCTTATTAATATTATACAGAATTGTTCACTAAATTAAGCAGGCAAGGTACTTTGTTGTGAATGGCCAATAAGTATTAGCTGCTTTGTAAAAGGACAGCTGCTTTGTAAATCTTTTTGTATTTTAAAATAATGTTTATGCTGTCATCAAATATATCACTCTGTGCAAAATTTCAAATAACCTGTTAAAGTAGTCATATAGCTGGTATGGTGAATTGGCAAATTGGAGTTTAGTTTGATGTTCATAATATTCACTGTTAGTTGTTATGTCATTTAATTACATAATAATTGTTATGTCAATACAATATACTTATTAAGTGTTAATTAAGGAGAAAGATGTATAGGGGAGAGTGGCTCACCTTAGGACACTTTTTTATTTTCATTTTATTTTGATAAATTATTGTCAAAATTTTACCAGGTATTCTTGTAACATTTGAAAACATTTTTAACTAGGTTTTAATTTTATATCTGTCTTAGAAAAATTTTAAAAAATGTTTAGTTACCTTGTTATCTGTCCCAAGTTGTACCTCCTAGTGGGGCACCTTGGGACAGTTAAGAAGATGCGAAAAATGAAGTAGAAATTTTCTAAAAATAGTATAACTAAATAAATTTACATTTTTTAATTTTGTTAATAAAGTTTTATTTTGTTAGTTTCAACTTCTTGTATGCAAATCCAGTTGTTCAGAATCAAATAGCAAACCTGAAGAACGTTCAGTACTTTGCTCTGCTTCTTTAAATTTTAACAAAATGTCATTTAAATCTTTGTATGATTTGTCTTCTTTTTTGGGATAAATAAATGTTACAGATTGATTCACTCTTCTCAAAACTGATAATTCTTACTCATATCCATCAACTCTTTCAACGCAACCTACAAAGGCAGCATCAGATCTTTTACCAGCAAATTTGATAAGAGCAAAATCTCTAATATGTAATCTTATTTCACTAATTTTTTGTAGATGAACTTTTTTCTTATTAAATATTTTGTAGTCACTTTCACTGTTCATTTCATTTAAGCTGCAAGCATCATCATCACTGTTGTCATTGCATAAATCACTAATTACTGGTTTTCTTCTGAATGTATTTCTCACTAATTCTGAGAGCAATAAATCCTCATTTTCCTAGATTTTTTTTTCATTCTCTCGGTTTGGAGGAATGTTCATTTGGTTTGGCGAAGCACACTCTTGTGCATGTGCATCACATATTGTTAATCCTTAATGGTACCTGGAGGCTTGTTATATATAGTGTACCAAATTTGTTTCTTCCTCATCTGTGAATATTTTGCAAATCTGTATATTTAAAATATATTGAAAGTTAGAATTTGGCTGCTCTCTTTTTTTTAAAAAAAGGAAATAAAAAGGCAGTTCAAAATGGTCTTACTAATAATGTAGAATTCAACAGCTTTCTTATAAGTCATTTCCTCTGATAAAATTTGCGGCAGCTTTTTCAACATTGTTAGCAACAACTGCTGCATTATTTTATACTTTTTGCTTTCTTGTTATTATTCAAGTCTAATGAATTCCTAAAATAAGAAATAATAACTATTAATAAACAAAGATTATATAAATTAAAAAATATTTTGCATGCACATTATCTTTTTGTTAAAAATCTTTTTTTTAATAAGGATTAATTTTGTATATGTAGCGTCCCTAGGTGGGCCACCTTCATCTGTCCCGAGGTGCACTAAATACTTAATATGAAATTGTAAACTTTCATACTTTTAGGCTTAGCATTAGAACAATTAAATTTGATAACTTCTAAAGGGAAAGCTTTATACTTCATTATATTATCCTTTATTAAAAATAACTTCATTAAAAATTATTTTTACAACTAATTAAACATTTATATAAAGTAATGAAACATGCTTCAAAAATAAAAATCTTAATAAATTCCTAACTGCTCAATCAATAGAATCAAAATGTGTTCCAAGGTTAGGTGATGCTGAAATTTATTTGAATCTAAAAGAACTAAAAGTTAATTTGAAATTTAAGGCCAAAAATAAAAATGTCCCAAGGTGAGCCATTCTCCTGTACTATTTTACATTAAGGATTCAGTTATATTTTTTACCTACTTGCAAGTACATTTTGAAATTCCTATTTCAGAGATAAATTATTTGAATTCAATAGTTTTAAATCATATTAATTTTTCTAAATGACTATGCATAATTAAATTTTTTTAACTCTCATAATAAATTAAATTCACAACTCACTTAGAATCTGATTTATTTTTTACACAGTAAACCAGTTTTTTTTATATTTTAATTTAATGTCTTTTAAAAAAAATTTCATTTGGAAAAAGTAGGAAAAGCCACATTTTTAATGCTTCTAAAATTAAAGTACAGTGAATGAAAGAAATTTGATTTAAAAAAAATCAGAAAATGTAATCAAGGGAATAGTATCAAGTGCTAAAACATTATTAGAAATTTTCTTTTTACCAGCTGGTCAACTTTCAATAATTTTTCTTTCTAAAATTTGATATATTTTGCTTGTTCCATTTCCTAATTTTATCATTTTCCTTCAGATTTGATTTCAGGTGTAACAGGGTGTGTAGCGTTTTTAAAAAATGCTTAAAGGTGCTTATTTTCAATTTTCGTTTTTGAAAAGACCTTAAAACTGCTTTTTTTTATTGGGTATTTTTAAGAAGTGCTTAATTTTCCCTTTTTGAAAATGAAATTTTTTTCTTTATCTTGTCGATTTTCGCCATGTATTATGCAAAAGCGTGATTTTCTCATTGTTCTATTCAAAGTTTTCCCAAACCATTATTGTACCACACTCTACTTCGGTGTACTCTTGGTTCATAACGTATGAAAGCACCAATCATTTTACATGTTTGATTAAATACTTACGAGTCCTCTTGTGCATCTACTCAGCTGAGTTTCAGTGAGATTATTGCACTCTTATGTGCAACTCTGCTGCATTTTGCAAATTATTCTCAACTTCAGTCCTCATTTCCACCCTCTGATATCGAATCAAAAAATCTCTTGATCATTTTATAATGACTAATGTAATCAAGAAAAGATTTCATTGTCAGAGACTAGTTATTTTATCGCGGTCATTTAAAGTCTTTGAAAATTATTTTGCATTTTGTTAATGTATATAGTGCTTAAAAATATTTTTAAATGTTAAAAAAATGCTTATTTTTTGTTTAAAGATTTGGCTACGCACCCTGTGTTAAAAGTTTCATATTCAGAGGCGATTGTGTTTCGGAAAAAATCCGGATTTCCGGATCTTTCGCTAACTGCAATCCGAAAGTTTCCGGAAATCCTAAGTCCTGATGTTTCAAGAAATCATCGATCACATATATTTATAAAAATTCTTGTATATTTTATTTAAAAATTTAGGAACTAGAATTTGTACTTGGCATCTCTTTTATTTGTAAATATTTTTTCTGATAGAATGATAAATGTGATTGAAGATAAAAGTAAACTTACACATAATTATTCATTTAAATTATGCTGCATATAATTCATTTATAATATCATGTTTTGAAAATTTCAATTATTTAAATTTATAAAGATATTAATTTTTTGAATGATTTTACTCAGAAATTTTCAGGATATTTGAGTTGGGCCCACAATCACCCCTGCATGTTATATCTTATAATATTGTCCAGGTTTCCTCATTTTTCTTGCACATGATACTTGCTTATTAAATAGTGTTTTGGTAAAAAATAAAAAAGACAACAACAATTTTAGATATGTATTGGTACCTTGGTACTGAATTGCGTAAATATAATCAGGGATGAGATTTTTCCGCTTTTTGTTCACTTATGTCTCTCGAAATTCAGACTTTTAATCAAAAACTCCGAGTCTCCAAAAGTTTAGCTTTTTTATTATAAATATTTCACCTTTGTCGATCGAAATTCAGCCTTTTAAACGAAAACTCTGATTCTTTAAAAATGTAGCTTTTTTTTTAAATAAATATTCCGCTTTTTCAGCCGTTGGAATAAACTAATTATATTTATTTCCAATTTTTAAAGATAAACAGAAAATTCGAACTGCATAGCTATTTTCTTCGCTTTTAATCGCAGAAGATAAGTTTTTCCGATTTTTTACCCACTTGCCAGATAGCTCGTATTTTCGTAATTCAACCGACGCTAAAGTCCGGAATCTGCAAATATCTCGATTCTTATTCACGCGATTTTAGTATCAAACATAGCTTTCGTATTTACATGATTTAAAAGTTGCACGTTGCGATTCTTATTTACGAGATTTAAAAATCCGATATCGCGATTTGTATCAAGCGTTTTTAAAAACCCATGTAGCAATTTGTATTCACACAATTTTAAAACCCAATGTCGTGATTCGCTCATGCGGTTATAATATCAAACATCGATTTTCGTATTTATACGTGATTTAAAAATAGGGCATTGGGATTCGTATTCACACGATCTAAAAATTATGCATCGTTATTCGTATTTACGCGATTTAAAAGTTCTATATCGCAGTTTGTATTTTCTCATTTTCAAAATTTAATATCGAGTTTCATATTCATGTGATTTCGAAATCCATTATCGGGATTTATATTCACATGATTTAAAAATCCAAGATTGCAATTTGTGTTCACGCGATTTTAAGATCAACTATTGCAATTCCTGTTAAAAGTAATTTCGTGTTTTCTTGAATTAGTTGCTATAAAGGTGACTGTTTTTTTTATCAACGATTATTAGTATATTTGGGCATTACAATATCAGCGAAACTGGAAGAGAATATATTCAAAACTTACATTCTGTGCATGCAAAGAATAAAAAGTATGATTTCTCAAAAGATGTTTGAAGACGGACTAACAACTAAATCACCAATCTGTTTGCAGGGTTGCCACTCCACAGGGAGAACAGGGAAAACCTGGAAAATACAGGAAATTTAAAAATCTCCTAAAATAACAGGGAAAATGCAGGGAATTTTGATTTTTTCTTTGCATACTGGGAAAATACAGGGAATTTTATTTCTTATTTTTGCCTTTTAAAAAATGGTGACCACTCGATGCAGGATATTTAACCATGATATTTCAGCTATACTAAACTATTTAATTTACTATAGCATTATTTAAGTATGTTCAGCTGTTTTTCCAGCAATTGAAACTAATAAATATAGTTAGCCCAATATAGCTCACACAGGAGCACAGTAATTGTTGTTTCCTCTTAATATATTGTGTATAATTTGAACAGGTAATTTTTTTTCCAGATTTGAGCGGCAACCCTGGTTTGTGTCAGTTTTGCTATTACTACAAGAATATATAAAACTTTTTCCAACTGAAGCAACAACCACTCACAAGCTGCATTACACACAATTTGATCTTATTAGAGGATTTTTTGCTTGCTTTGTGAAACATGATGCATTTTCAGCAATCGGAAATTAAACACAAAAAAGGATATAGCGAACATAAAAGATATAGCTAACAAAAGCAATAATTTAAAAAGTGATAAAAAAATTTTTTTTGAAAAAAGAGTTAATTAACTCAGCACCAAAATCCAAAATTTAAAAAATAGTGTTGTATGTATAATGTATTTATGCAATAAATTGAAAAATAATTATCTAAACAGTTACTGATTATCATTTAATTTTTCAAACTAAAATAGAAATTTTTGTATGTTAAGGAGTTAATATTTATTCCTACTTTACAGTTATTGATATGTTTCACAGTGCTCTAGCTAGATTACATTATAATATGAACATAGTGATTCCAATTGTAAAAATTTATTTTCTTTTCTAAATAATTTAAAAAGTCACGTTACTGATATATTTGCTGTAAATCAAGTACGTGATTTACAGCAAATATATCAGACAGTAGTATTAATTAAAAGAAATGGAATGTTAATGTATGTTCTCAGTAGTTTTAATTTGCTAAATCATACAGTTTCTCACGTAATAATTGTCTCTTATGAGAACTGAAGAAAAATATAATTTCTAGCTTATTTTTTCAATTGGTAATTTTAGTTTTTGTTAAATGTTAAGTATTGATGTAATCATTTATTTAATAATAAATTAATTCACAATTTTCTGTCAACACATTGTTATTTATTATCTTAAATTATCTGTAATATATTATTAAACGATTGCACACACATAAAATTTACTTGCTTGGAAATTCAGCTTTTGGCCAATCTCATCCCTGTATAATAAATTTATTATTTTTTTAGGTGTCTTGGATTAGAATTTTCATCTGTTGGAGAGTATACTTACACAAGTGACACTCGATTCCAAAGTGTTTACATGCAAATAATTGGGCAATTAAATATCCACAAGTGGCAGATGAGGGCCTGTATGAGTGTCAGGTCAGCTCCTCCCCACCCAAGAATATTGTGGGTAGTGGGTGAGTCATTTATGATCCAAATTTTCTATCAATATTTGCTTGCAAAATTTTGTAAGAGTGGAGTTTGGGACATTCACGTCACTTAATTGTTCCAAATCTTTTTTTATTTTTTTGCCCTAGTTAAAATTTATGTTTAGATTATTTTCCCTGTCTTTTATGTGTGCTATTTCTCACATGTTATGTTATTATTTTTGGTAAAGTCTTTTTTCATATATCTATAACGTCGTTGCCGAGTGGAAGGATAAAAAACAGGTCTTAGGCAGAGAAGGAGGGTACGAAATTTATTTATTAATTATTAGACAGAAAACGTTCATCAAAGTGTGGTCACGAAATGTTGTGTTTCTCAATATAAGTTAGGGAAAATCTTGCAAAGTAAATCTGTAAAATGTTTCATTTTAGGGAATAAGGGAAATCTTAATAATTTTAATTGGTTTATTAAATAGGTCGCACAATTCCCACAAAGAGCGAAGGGGAAATGTCTTACTATTAATACATATATATATATGAACACATTAAATAGAGAAATAATTCTATAATTCAAGAAAAAAGATTATTAAAGAAAATTGAGAAGTTTTATTTTTCCACACATACGCTGCAGAACCTATAAAATAAGATAAACTACAAAGAAAACAGGGGAAAAAATATTTTTTAAGTAAAGCATTTTTGTGCTTCTAACGTATTGTATTGATGTATTTTGCTTCATACGATACAATATTAGAAAGGACTCTGTTCTGTGGATGTAATCGTGTAAGCTAACAATGACATTATATCTTTTAAAATTTTTGTTTTCCAACTTTTTAATATTTTTAAAAAACTTTTATTTATTAATTTTTCTCCTTTTCCTTAAAAATATTTTTTTTCTTGTATTTTATCCTCATATTATACATATAAATTTAGTAATATATATATATACAAAATGTATTGAAATTCTTTTTTTTAAATTTTTTTTATCCTTTTTGTGCTGTATGTATACAGTAGAGTCCTGATTATCCCCTTCCTTCTCGCTCCCGTGAAAATGACGGAGTTAGTTTTCGCCCGCTATTTCTTGCTCCCGTGATATTGACGGGCTAGAGTATTCAGTAGTAATGCGCCAATAAGAATAAAATAAGAATAATTCATTTCTTTTGCCCGGAAAACATTTTATTTCTCATTTTACACAACAATAAAGATGAAAACATTAAGAGATGTAGGAAGGAAACTCGGTACTATAGTCCAGATTGTGACGTTGGCCTCTGTATCTTATGCTTTGAAATTTATCACACAAGAAAAAATTACTAATCTTTATATATATTATGCTAAAGTTTAATCAAATTCCTTTTTAATGTTTAAAACACATATTTTTTAAATTTTCCTTGCTTGCTGGAAAGCCAACATTAAGTCATAGTAGCCCTAAATGTTGGCTTTTCCTAAAAATTTAATTTTTTTAAATTTCAAGCTAAAAACAAATCAAAAGCTAAAAATGACTATATAT